TTATGCTAATATTCTAAGCAAATTGGAGGAGTTTTTCAAAACTAAGAACAAAGAGATTGTTTAAATCTGAAATAGTAAACGAGTTTTTATGCAGCCGAAACAGCATCAGCAAACACCACGTTGTTAGAACACACTAGTCCCGAGAGAGCCCGACACATGGAAACAGTATTCAAGGCTAAAATTATATTACTACACTCCGAATAACTTATATACTACACTTAGACTAAGTTTAGCTGTTTGCATACTTTTTCTTAGTTTAATTTGAGATTGGGCATTATCATTAGTTTTTATTTGTTTTCTGTCACTTCTTTCTAGCTATGCATCAACTTCCTGGCAATACTTGGCTTATCGCTGTCATGTTTTCTCCTCCTGACGCCTTATCTCGTACAATGCGCTACAGTCTTGATTTGATTAAGGCCCTAAGTCAAGGGCCACCACGTTTCAATCTCCTGGCCACTAAAAATCACAACGCCGAGGGTATAGTCACTACCAGTCATGCTACAATCTCTGGATGCCACATCAAGACTCGCCTATTGGCTGACCTATTTGCGTGTCAACGCCGTAGATTGGCTTTGATTCGCTTTATGATTTCCACATGTCTCCCACGACTTGGGGAGCTGGCACCCTGTCGTGGTGTTGGCTTTGATGTCAGCACAAATCTAGATTCGACTGAGGTTGGAGGTGTAACTGCAGGAGGCGCTACTGCTGCGCCCTCTTCCTCCTCTGGTGTCAGCGAGGAGGATGTAGAAGGTTCTGGTGGTGGTAATATACCCATGCATTCTGTTGAAAGAACTGATGAACTTGCCGGGGATGCTTTGCTGCTAGCCGTTTTTAACAACCTCGTTCTTCAGGCGGACGTTGCAATGCTCCAACTCAAACAGATAGCGGCAAGTGTAGATAACGATATCGAAAAAGCTGCTTTTGGGGGACATTTTGATAAGGGTCAACGTGACGCGGAGCCTGGAGATGACCTGTTGGCCCTTGCCTTTACCGGTCGCCTACCAGCACCTAGTCAGATGCCGCATGCCGACAGTCCTAAAGGACTTTGTCTGAAAGCCTATCTACTTCACAGAGCATATTTTCTTGGTACTCCAAATTACGATTTTGTCGCATCTTATTTTTAACTTTGTTGCGAAGATTGATTGCAATGGCTTGCTTTGGTATTTCAATGTTATTTAGTTGGGCCATCTATAATGAATTGATTAAATGCCTCAATCCTCAGGCATTTGAATATGCACTCTTTCACATAGTCTTCTCCACCGTAATCTTACTTGAAAATAATCCAAAAGAAGAAAGTAGAATGGATTCCTGAGATGAAGACAGGGAATTTAACGACATACAAATTAAACTATAAATGTCATCCAGGCTACAGGAAGGTAATTTTGGTCGAGGTTTTTGGTGGACTCATGCTGTGTGATTAATGTGCCCTGATCGAAGTGAGACGGTTTTGCCTCACTGATTGCCCCTCCTGGTTTAGAAGATTGAGAGGCTGAATATTTCGTTGTGATTCGAAGCCATATAAATAGTATATTGATTGCCTAGCAAGGTATAGACATTTTAATATATATTTTTAGTTTTTAGTCCGTATTTTTGTATATAACGGTTTTGTATTTAATTAATGGACTGAAATCGAGCTTCATTAAAGCGCCTACTTGTTTTTATTTAACTTCCTCATTAACATATTCTGATACCAACCATGCACTTATTTTTGGAATTAATTTTTTTTAATTTTGATTTTGATACCTTGACCCAAAGAGTACCAAACATCATAGTGACTTGATTAATTTTTTATATTTAGATAGCGTTTAATTTCTATAACTTTTATCATGGCAATACACTTTTAGCTTTCATTTATTGGTTGATTTTTTTATTTTCTCACTTCCAGATTACTTTGAGTCTCTTCTCCTCGATCGGGTCCTTCGTCAGCTGGCCATCCTGGAAGCCGGCCAATTTGCTGGCTGCGCCGATGAGCGCCTTATGGCCGTTTGCATTAGCGCTGCCAGCGGTACCGGTGCCAGCTTCGGGCAGAATGCCAGTCACACTATTGGACTTCTTGCTGAGATGTTATGTCTTCTGCAGCCTATGGTTAGCCATCTAGTGCCTTTATTTTCTCACAGTATATTTTTACCGCACGATTGCGGAACTCATTTACCTTTTCCGTATACGAACGTATATGCTATTCTGTTTATTATCATTATTAGTCAGTTATCTAATTAAATTTAAACATAATTCGTGTATATTTAGTGGTATATAGTTACATTACTCAAATGTGTTTTTTCTTCCTAGTAGGACGAATGCTGTTCAA